TGCTAGGGCTGAGAATCATGTGATAATTGTTTCTAGAATCATACATGTTAAAGTAGATAGAAGACTAAATGTCACAAATAAATTCAAATACCAAAGACGACTTTCAAGTCGTCTTGCTATTGTCTTGTTTCGTGGGACCCCCTGTAGGTAACATCATTTTATTTAAAGTTATAACGGAAAATCATCGTTTTTAAATTGAAAAGCATAGAGTCCATGTGAAATGATCATTAGTCAATTATGAAACCAGCCTATTTTATAATTTTTATTTTCTTTTAATATTAATTTTAGATTTTCTATAAAATGATGTTCCAGGGCCCAAAAGGTTATATAGCACAAATATGTGAAGTACTGGTACACCTGCAGTATGCAAACTGCAGTATAACAAAATGGCCGTTTTACACTTTTTTCGAGTAAATTCCCCTCTAAGATATATTTATATTTATTCTCTATGCCCCAAGCCCTGTTGATGCTATCCTGTTTGAAAGCTACTCCCATATCCTCCCAAACTAAAAATTGTTCAATTTAAACTATTGTTCGTATAGGAGATTTTGAACTTTCCCAACAACAGAATATAACGCTGAAATTGAGTCTTTGCCACAAACTCAAATTGTATCATCCTTATATCTTTGAAACCCCACTACAGTATTTTCCCAACCCCACTACAGTATTTTCCCAACCCCACTACTATATTTTCCCAACCCCACTACAGTATTTTCCCAACCCCACTACAGTATTTTCCCAACCCCACTACAGTATTTTCCCAACCCCAATTCAGTATTTTCCCAACCCCGCTACAATATTTTCCCAACCCCACAACAGTATTTTCCCAACCCCACTACTGTATTTTCCCAACCCCACTACTGTATTTTGCGAACCCCAATAATATANACTGTATTTTCCCAACCCCACTACCGTATTTTCCCAACCCCACTACTGTATTTTCCCATCCCCACAACTGTATTTTCCCATGACCCCACTACTGTATTTTCCCAACCCCACTACTAGATTTTGCGAACCCCAATAATATATTTCCCAAATCCCACACTTCTGTATTTTCCCAACCCCACTAATCTAATTTTCCGACCACAATCTCCCTTTCCCCACCTCCAAAATATTGTGTGCGCAATTTACATTTACTATTTAAAATGTCGAGCTTCATCTTACGTTAAAATATCCTCGTTCTATAAGAATAAACACCTGTATTGCTAAAATTTGCTAATAATTCCAGATTTTATGATAATACAAACTATTTAATATATTTAGTGCAGAAGCAAAGCTGCATGCCTAGTGCTGGGTAACATTATTTTCTGCTTTAGCCTCAGAAAAGCACACTCCCCCATTCTAAAAATAACCTTAGAGTAAAGATATTGATCTTAGGAGGTCAACTCATTAAACAAATTTAACCATAAAACTTAAAAGAAAAGTAAGTGCATTTTAAACTCAAGTTATGAGTCATGCAATTAATTTAAGACTGAAAGATTAAACCTAAGACACAGCATTGAATATCCTGGAAAATTATTGTCAAGGGGCAGGACTAAGAAATATATAAGAATTAAGAAAGGCCTCTCAAGGCAGTATTTTTTTTAAGTTAAAGAATTACATAGCTAAAAAATCATATCTTTTAGTCAATCTTTTTTTAAATTTGTCAAAATGCATAATTCCTTTGTCTACAAGGGATTAGAATGCTTAGATCTACAAATGAGGAAGAGAAAACAGATGAATGATCAGATAAAAAGAAGATACAATAACTATAGAATAAATTCACTGCTCTTTAAATTTTTTTTAGATTTAGAAATAAATGTAAAAATATTAAAATGGGTCTGTGTACGCTGCACGATGATTAGTAGCTATTTAAGCCTGATATTTCAAACCTTAAATTTAAATACAGCCTTTCATAGAATTATTACATAAACCATAATCTTTGGCCAAAAACTTTTCATTTGAAATAGTAAAACCTTAAAACCATGGCTTGCAAGTTGATTCCTGACTAAAGTTTACATCTTTCAGAGCCCACAATTTATAAACTTCGGCCCGAGCCGTAATTTCTTAAACCCGACTTTAAGACCCAATCTTCGACCCAACTCTGACAACAGCTTGTGTCACGTGATTGACAGCTTCTAGATCTTAGGTTTGACTGGTTAAACAGATCCCTAATTTACAGAACTCGGGACCTGACTGACAGAAACTTGTTAATCAACATAATTGTGAAATGATTGCCTTCTTGTCAATATTTGTCCCTCATGCATTTGTTCCTCATGCATTTTGTTGTGCAATATACTTCATCATTAAAAATACACCCATAAATCTAAAGATGATACATGGACGGCTTTAATCTTGTAAACCTTAACAAAACTGTACTTAAGGAAAATTCTAAATCCTACCGCAAATAATCTTGAAAAACTCAATAATTTTGTTTAAGTTTATAAAAAGATTTGCAGTAAAGCAAATCAGGAATTTGAAGTTATAAGAATTAAAAATTTGAAAGGGAACCTCATAAAACCTAGTAAATTATTGGAGAAGGTTTGGGATCTTTAGAAAATGGGATAGTTTACTGTTAAAGAATGTTATGAGATTATGGCCTATTCATACAGTACAAACATCAAATATGCAGTGCGCTTTAGGAGTGCAAGTGTATTGGGAGGTTTTGTATATTGAATTTTACTCAGTTTTCTCAGAATAGTTTATTAACAATGAAATATTGCACTCTAAAAGACTGTAAATGTACATCACCCCCAAGTACTGTAATATACAGATTAACCTTTAGAAGTGAAGTACATGGCCTGTACAACTAGTAATTACATTTTTTTTTGTATAGGAAATTAACTTCCTATAAAATCCTGGATTGAAATGCTTTTTGCATAAGATTTCCTAACTGAGTCCTCTGCAAGTTTAGGGGACATTAGTTTCACAACGGACACTTTTAAATCATCTTTTTTGGCATCCGCATGGGAGTAACGAGAGCATTTTCAGAATTTAAAGTAAAAAACAGCAATTTTTAATCGTTGAAGGGATTGTTCTGCGCTCAATAATATACCAAATTCTTATAATAACAATGGTTTGTTCTTGTTTAAAAAACATACTTTGTCATACAACTTTAAAACGAGTTAATAAATTAAACAAATTTTTTTTATAATCTTATAGTGCCCGACTAACAAAATATCGTTTCTAGAACATTTCAGAAACGTTATGTAAGGTAGCGTGACGTTATAGTTGCGTTTTCCAGATACGTAATAATATAAATCAAAAAAATTTATATTGCCATTTTAACAGATACAAGGTTCAAGGGTTATCTGAGAGAAAAATAAAATATTTCAATGAAGGTTTGATGGTTATCTGAGACAGGTTCTGGTTCTGATCTAGCTTCTTAGTCGGACTAAAAAATTTGAGGGTTACAAAATTTTTACTTATGCTTCACAAAAAATATTTTTTTAAATCTACATATTTATTATCTCCGTATCGAGATTATGTTAAAGATAAAAAATTCTTTGTATTATTTTTACAAAAAGGTTGTACGATGATAGCGTGATAATACATTCACATTCTTTGTATTTTAAAAATGCTTGTAATTTGCGGATAAATTTTTTTTTTTTACTTTTTTCCCACATTCAAATTTGTTTTATTTTAGAAAAAATCCTTTTTCAAGTATTTTGGACTATGAAGTTAAAACGATTTACAGTATTACTGAGAATAGAGTCCCATTTTTTTAGGTTTGCCTGAATGAATTTAAAGGGAGTGTTCGCGAAAAATGAATGGAAACGGATCAAAAATTTGAGGAAACCGATCAAAAATATGGGGAAACAGATCAATTTTAAAGTTTTATAAAAAAGCGGAAACGGACCAAAAATATGAGGAAACGGACCTAAAATTTGAGGAAACCGATCAACAAAACGAGATTTTTAAAGTTTTTGAAAAAAGCGGAAACGGATCAAAAAAAAGCGGAAACGGATCAAAAATTTGAGGAAACCGATCCAAAATATGAGGAAACAGATCAATTTTAAAGTTTTAGAAAAAAGCGGAAACGGATAAAAAAAATGAGGAAACGGACCAAAAATATTGTGAATCCCCTCAAAAATATTGGGAAATCCCTCTAAAATATTTGAATAAAATAAAGGGGAAACAGATATACAATTCTGGGAAATCGATCAAAAAAAAGAGGAAACTCCTCAAAATTTGAATTTAGAGGGATTTCCGAAAAATTTGAAGAAATCGCGGAAATGACTCAAAAAAACCGGTTTTTGAGGGGTTTCCGCGTATTTTTGATCCGTTTCCGTGTTGAGGCGTTTCCATGTCACCAATCATACAATGAAAATATAAAGTATGCAGTGCGCTTTAGGAGTGCAAGTGTATTGGGAGGTTTTGTATATTGAATTTTACTCAGTTTTCTCAGAATAGTTTATTAACAATGAAATATTGCACTCTAAAAGACTGTAAATGTACATCACCCCCAAGTACTGTAATATACAGATTAACCTTTAGAAGTGAAGTACATGGCCTGTACAACTAGTAATTACATTTTTTTTTGTATAGGAAATTAACTTCCTATAAAATCCTGGATTGAAATGCTTTTTGCATAAGATTTCCTAACTGAGTCCTCTGCAAGTTTAGGGGACATTAGTTTCACAACGGACACTGAGTGTTAGAAATTAGCACAAATTGAAAGATTGGGCTTTTGGGATCCCAGCCCATATTCAGAGTAAAAGTCAATAATAATAAAAACCATAACCAACATTTTATTAAACATAAAAATAACATCTATTCCCAATTTTAAACTTTTTTAAAATCAAAATTATGATAGAAGTTTTATTTATTAAATCTCTCGACTGTTATACTCCATTTTCCTTCATATCCTGAATTTAAAACATTGTCGCGTTTTAGAGACAAAACTCACTTTCATGCTTTTAATTATAATTGGCAATTCAAACCAGACATACTTTCATGTACTCCTTTCTCACCAATAATTTTAAGGCTCTCTGGCTAAATTTGGCTTAAATACACTTCTACAAGTGTATTGGTAAGTCATCACTGACAGATGTTTTCATATAATCTTATAATTCTTCGTAATAAGACTCAGAGTCAGAAGTCTTGCAGATCATAGCCTGGTAAGTTCTTTACTTTTTACTCTCATCTTTATACTTTAAGCTTTAAAAATAGCTGCCAAAGTCTATAATATTTAATGATAAATTATACCAACTTATACGCACACAACTCCACGAACCAGTTAAAAGATAAAAATCAACCATTTACTAAGCATCAAATTGTCCCTCACTTTGAAGTAGAACCTTTTTTCCTTCCTCTGACTACATGTCATTTTCTAAATCTATGAAGTTTGACCAACAGTTTTGCCAGTTTTAAAAGTTATGCCAATCACATAAGTTTTGAACATAAACTATGAAGTCTGTTCTGCACAAAATCCTTAAAAGTAATATTTAGTTTAATTTGATGTTTTAAGGTCTTCAAGATGATAACCCTTTCTATTTTGTTTATTTTCATCACTGGCATTGCTGCGGAGTGCTGTCAGTCAAGGGTAACATAGAAATTTTGGTTGTTCTGATGGTTGAATTTAATTTGTGTATCAATAATTGTCAAAACAGCTGAAACGGCAACTCAAACATTTTTGGCTGGTAGAAGAAAAAGTGTCGAAATATATGGTTTAGAAAATACACCAATTTTAACAGAAACATCAATAAAAAATGACTAAATCAATAAATAACTAAGAATTAAAGAATCTATGCTTAACATTAGGTATTTGAGATGTTAATTATTTTTATACTTTTAACTAGATGTTGTCTGGACATCAATTCTGTATAACACTGATTTTTCTTCACAACAAATGTGCTCTACATATTTGTATTCATAATAATAAATTCATTAAACTATCAATTTTGCTATAAAAACAACAATTTAGGAAACAAACAAAATCAAATTGTTTTTAAATAATTAAAATAAAAAGGATTAAAGAATTCAAAAAATTGTTGACAAATGATGAACTAACTAAATAAAAAAAAACCCAAAAGCACCCTCAACTTAAGTTTAGTCTGAGCATGGCACTAATCACCTAAAGTTTAGTTAAGGGTTAAGCCTATCTCAATTCACATTTTCTCAGAATAACTATGTATGATCAATTTCAAATGTTTTTAAAAAAGAATTTTTTAGAATTAGACCAATTATGAAAATTTTAGATTTTTACAATGTATCAAATTGATTTTACCTTTTACTATATTCTTCATAAATTATTTAATATCCCTGATGATGACTCACAAGATCAAATAGTGTCTTAACAAAGGTTTTCTAAAAAATCGACTGTTTCTCCGGCCAAGTGATCTTTTAAAAGGAAGACTAATGAAAAGCCAAGAGGCTATTTAATTTTCACTGAAGTTACCTTTCAACTTCATCGAGTCGGGTCAAAATTAGGGATGATCTTTTTTAAAAGCAATGAAATCTTTTTTTAAAAATGATCCTTCTTTAATGTCTGTTAACAACCTCAATATGATAAAATACATTTTTATTTGGTCTGAAATTCTGAGGTCAGAAAACATTCAGGTTATTTTTCTTGAAAAAAAATCATTTAAGATGGCATTTAAAGGGACCATTCACTTATTTGGGTAGTTTCAGGGTAAACTAAACAGCCTATATGCTCTTGATTGGTAATAGTCTTACTTTTCAAAGACAGCTGTGGCCGGAGAAAAAGCCGATTTTTCGTTCAGAATTTGAGCGGAAAGGGACGGTCCCTCTCTATAGACACTATTTGATGTTTTTTTCAGTAACTACAGCCCAATAACATTTAAATTTATTATATTTTAATGTCATTATGTGTTCGTTATTATGAACTAAAATATGAAAACTTTTGATATTTGAGTTAGCAAGAAATTTACGTTTTTCGTATTAAAACATGTAAATTATGTATACAAAGACGACGTCTCTACGACAATCAATTAATCATTACTCGTATTTTGGTTCGTAGATTTTGTAGATTTTGTTCGCGTATGTGCACAATTTTTCATTTGCCATGCCGCGTTCAATTCAGCTTTTTACACAGGCAATACACAATTTTGAATGCGATAAAATAGTGTTATTTTAGAAATAGAAAGTTAAAAAACAACAAAAATTAAAAAATAATGACATTTACAATTAACGATCAGATACTACAGTTTAATTTCATATTCGAAATTTATTTTGATTCACAACATACTGAAAAAAACATCAATTAGTGTCTATAGAGAGGGACCGTCCCTTTGCGCTCGAATTCTGAACGAAAAATCGGCTTTTTCTCCGGCCACAGTTGTCTTTGAAAAGTAAGACTATTACCAATCAAGAGCGAATAGGCTGTTTAGTTTACCCTGAAATTATCCAAATAAGTGAACGGTCCCTTTAAAAACTTATCTTTCTTAAATTTATTGTCATAAGTTTCAGTTTTATTGACAAACAAATTTTCAAAAAACAATAGTTTTGTCATATTTTAAAAGTTCAAAATGAGTTTTTAAAAACAATTGTTTTTTTTCTGAAAATGAAACTTTTTTTTTTGGATTGGTTTGAAAACGCTTAAAAACCCTAGTCACAACTAGTAAATAATCTTATTGAATTTAGAGCATGCCTGATGGGGATACTTATTCCTTCTATAAAACCATGGAGCAATCTACTCTTGGCATGCCATCAGACTGTCTTGATGGTTGCATGTATACTAAGGATGGAGATGTATCAAGTATTAAACTTCTATATCATTCAATAAATTTGACCCCTACAAGGGGATAAAGCAAGGGACCATCAAAAGATCTTAGAAATTGACATATTATCTATCTATTTTTTTCTCCTTTTAACAATCGTTTGTTCTAAACATGTGACACTTAACTAAAATTCTCTTGGATCAAATAGTCACTGTTAAAAATATCAAATATTTATATCAAATATTAATTTTAAATATTATAGTGTTTGTAAATTCTTGGAAATTAAACCTTTAAAAAACATATTTACCAGTGCTGAGGGGGTTCCTACAGAGAAGCTTTTAAAAAAACAGGAAATTCTAGCCATTGAAGTATTTTTTAAGTTAAATTATCTTATTACAATATGAAAATTTAAAAAAAAAAACATTTTAACTGGTATGTTTTAGGAAAACTTTACTGTTTTGGAAATGGTCCTATGGAATCTCAGTGTGGTTCAGTAAGTAAATGCGTGTTAATACACTGATTTCAGTTAATGAAAATTTGTATAGGGTGTCCCACAATACATGGCAGTTGGTGAATAGTCTTCTTCCATTTACTACATTAGATATTTGCAGCTTTTTTAGTTCAAAAATTCTATTACTCAAATTTATTCAACTTTGAATTAAATGTTGCTAAAATAAGACTGCCATATTAATTTGGTATTAAACAACTTCAAACAAATCGGTAAACCTTTCTTTTTTTGATGCAAAGGTTGGACGGAGGACGGGTACAGGGCTAAATTTTATAAATTTGAAAAATTTCAAAAAGGGATAAAAAAGTTAAAAACATGGGCCACATGCTAATAATTTTCTAAAGTAAAAAAAATAGTCTTTAATCCTTTTTTCAATGTACTTTCATAACTTTTTACAAATCTTCCCTTGCACACTACCCAGGAAAGTGTGAAACCTACTTTTATAATGAGCATGCCTTGAAAAGCTGTATTAGGAACATGCATGTGCACTCCCCTATCTCAACTTTAAGGGCAAAATCAAGGGGGGGGGGGGCAGGGCAGAAAACAATGCCCAATCAGGATAGGGTTAACAATTTATAAAAGAAGACATCTAAAACTATTCACCATTATAGTCCTGTTTCATTGACCAATAATATGTTTATGTTTGCCAGTGTGGAATTGACAATTTTCCTAAGAACTCTAGGATAATAAATGGAGAACCTACAGAGCCACATAGATATCCTTGGATGGTAAAATTTTTATTATTTTATTCCCAACAATAGATTTGACTGGGTGGGTGAACAATGGTGGAAAATATTTTGATATTTCAGATATTGAGTCTTTGCCACAAACTTTGATTTTCTTTTTTTCATATCTTTGCAACCCAATGTTGTAGACCTCAAATATTTCAAACTATTAATTAGATGTTGGATGAAGTAAACTAAGTTTGAAATATCAAAATAATAATATAGCGATTGAAATATTCAAGTTTGTAGCAATTAAAGACATAAACTGTTTTCTTGTCACCAATTTGTTGAAATTTCCTCACCATGTTCCTGAGTAATTTCACTAGCCAGGTAATTTCAAAGACGTAAAGGGCTGTTAATCATGTTTAAAAACAATGAAAAAACATTGTTTATTGTTTTGTTTTTGATTATTCAAAACAAACCAACTTCTTATTTTGAATTCTTTGACAGCTGAATTGTCAATGAAAAATGAAAAAAATTACATTTTTAAAGATTTTTTATAAATATAATTCTAATTTCTTGATTTTACATAAATCATAATTACTTAAAATCAATATTCAGGTTGCAATATTTTTCATAAACGAGAATGGAATGCCACAATATATTTGTGGTGGATCACTGATTAACAATCAGGCAAATATTAATGATTTTTTCATAATTTTACATTTCTAAAATACGTCCTTATTCCATTTATTTGTCTGGTTTGTCCATTTGTCACATTGTAGCAAAAAGTTAACATTTTTCTGACATGCTTTTTGAACTTTTATTAAAAACTGCCTAGCACCCTTTAACCATGTTAAGGTTTTTTTTAATGAGTTTTACTTGAAAACATCCATCCCTTCCCTCCTTATATATAATAAAATCAGCCCAATCGGGATCTGGTCAAGGTTGTTTTTCTTTTAAAAAAGAAATAGTAACAAATGAAATACAAATTTATTTAGAAAATAATTAATTATTCACACGATCTTTTCTTGCTTTATTTTAGTTTATACTAACTGCTGCTCACTGCACTTATGATTATTCAAAAGAGAACCTTCTACTTTCTGTAAGTTTAAATTTTTTTATATAATATTTTTTCCCTGTACATTTATACTTGATAGTTTATCTAGCTTAATGAGAGTTTCCAATAAAAATTCTGTTGCTCACAATTTCTTGCAATTGAATTGCACAAAAATTGAGAACAATGAGGCAATTTAAAAATTCATTGTATTGCATGCAATGTAAATGCTTTGCAAGTAAATGTGTCTCAAATATGGGTACTGAAGCTAATGTCACCATATTGAAAAATGATCCTCCATTAAAAATAATTTTAACAATAATCACATGGCATTGCAGCTGTAAATCATTGACTGAACTTGAATGAGGAGATATGTTCTTCACTTCAAAAAATTAACATATTTATTTTCCTACTGGCTGATGCATCAGGGGCAAAGTAGCAACTGTTTGGTTATAATTAAAAGAGTTTCCTTTTGAGAAAATAAGATTTTAGATAAATCTGTAAAAAAACCCTTTAGTTTCATAAATAATTAGCTTTGAATCTAGACAAAACCAATCTCAACTAGGGCTGGGCACTAAGGGTGATTAATATTGGAATCAAGCCAACCAACCACCAGGGGGTTTCTGAGTTTTCACTTTAAAAAAAATATTGCAATCAAAAATAATCAAAAATGGTCTACATGGTTGCAAATTGAGGATTTAATATTGAAGAAATTTCCATAATGCCCACCCTCACAAAAAATATTTTGAAAAATTTTATGTTTTACATCAATTTCTTGGACATTTATGCTGAATTGAAATCTAAAGTGTGTTTATATAGTTATAGCCGATCAGTCCAAAATTTAATTAAATTTAAATTTTTTAAAATAGCGCTTTCACGTTTGAATTCAGCATAAAATTTCAAAAATATGAAATCTTTCAAAATATTTTTTTACAGCGATTTCTCTGATATAAAATTGTCAAAAATCACCCTTCACTTAATTTAGACTTTTTTCTAGCCTTTCATTTAAACCTTTGAAAAACAAATTTTTGTAGCCTAAACAAAATTTGAATTTTAGATCTGTTTATAACTTTACTGCCTTTGAGGGCCATCTCTAAAATAAACCGTTTAGAAATGACCAAAAATGGGAAACTTCAAGGGGCTTGGAAGAAAGTTAAACTTTTCCTTTGATATAAATGAATTTCAACCTCCTTACTTTACTCAGTATATCATATAGATAGTAATAATGCATGTAAACTCAGTTATAGAAAAACAAATCATCCCACAGAGAAATTAAAATGTCTTTCTAAATCAGAATTACTTACGAGTAAGGATACTTTTGGATCACAGAAATACAGAGCATTAATTAAATTTTCTTACATTTAGATTAGTGAACATAATATTACAAAACCAGATGGTGAATCTATTACAAACTTTTGTGAGATAATTAACCATCCATATTGGTCAAATGTTTTTGAAAAGGGGTTTGACATATCATTAATAAAACTGTGCCAGCCTATCGTCTTTACAGAGGTAAGGAATACAAGTACATTATTTAAATCAAGAAAAAAAAGTTTCTTAGAAGGCAGTTTACTTTTTAACAGTACAAATTACTTGCATCAAAAGAAACAAACTTTGTCAGCAATAATAAGCGAAGCGTAAGCCCACAGGGGGATTCCAAACCCAACCAACCACCCCCCCCCCCCATGAAAAAATATTTGTTCTAAATCTTTTTATTTTAAAACAAACTTTTGTTCCCTTTAAAAACCTAAAATCCAACTTTTTTCATTTCTTTTTTAAACCAAATGGAATTTTTTTTCAAATTTCTTCAACAATTGTTAACATGCCTTTTTTTTATAACAAAATATCAAACCAATTTCACAAATAAACTTTTGATTCACATTGAGATAGACTTTTTTCAAATCAAATTTTCAAAATAAGAAATTCACTTAGAATTGCAATTTTGAAACACCCAACTGTTTTTATGTATTACAGTTAGTTAATGATGGCATATAAAAAAATATTAAACATTAATAATTTGCTTTTGAAAAAAAGTGGCTTTATAAAACTTTATAATAAAAGGATTTTAGTAGAACACAGTAATTAAAAATAAAGGGAAAAACATGTACGTCATCATTAAGACGGACAAATGTCATACTTTGTTCAGACATTGTCCCCTGTATGCTTGCCCTCCATACAAGATTTAGGTAAACATTGTTTTAAAACTGTACAGTACAGGTTTTCTCATCCCAAAAATTCCTAAAACCTAATGATAAACAAAGATAGCAAAAATAGTACACATATGCAAAATTTAAAAGTTAGATATGAAAAAAACAGCTTGTAGTTTTGTGTAATCAATGCTAATCTTGTTATATTTTAACCTGTATGTCTGTTAGGAAATGAGTTTGAGAATATGGAGGCTATTGTTGCTGGGTGGGGACTAACATCAGAGGAATCGGATAGGACCAATGTTCTAATGGAGGTTAAGGTATTGACAATTATCTCCAGAAGATTCTGTTTATGCTTTAACAATCAGTCATTTAAAAAAATTTTAACACTTGTTTTTAGGAACAATTTTTGCATTCAATGGATTCAAATTGATGATAAGATTTTACGTCTTTTGATTTAGAGAATTTTTAATCATTGTTGTGTCTAAAAATCTGATTTAAAAATTCTTATGGTTTTAATTTTTCTGTGACATCGATCTATAGTAAAATGACACATTGTATTCATAGACTTTTTAAAAGTGTTTTGTTTCCATTAATATTGAATCTGCTCAACATCATTGTAATCTAAAATCTAAATGGAAAAATGTTTTAGGTAAAAACCATGAGTAATGCAGATTGCTGTGATGCTAGCAAGGGACGCAAGTGGACATGTGGTTGGGCTATGACTCTAATGTGTGCTGTAGAAGAAGGACCTAAGGGATCATGCAAGGGTGACTCTGGAGGTGGGAGGACTGAATCTTAGGCTTGGGCAATCTATTGATATTGGCATAGATTAATAACAATACAGATAGAACACTAGATGTTGTCTTTTCAAGATTTAAATGTTTTTTGTTCACAAAGGAGTTCCAATCAGGCAGCGTTGAATTTCAAGACAAAGAGGTAGCATTTAGTTATCTATCTGTATTGTTATTATTCTATGGTTAATGTTGACCAGCATTAATTTGTACGTCTAATATAACCTGAATTCAAATATTTAGAATCTTTAATTAGCCCATTAGTAACAAGACAGTCAATTTTGACCGGGTAAGGTATTTATTTTTGAGTGCCTTCATTCTTAAACCAAATGTCGTCCTGTTTCATTCCCGCTCTACCTACAGATATGCCGAGTATTGCCTATAGGTTGCAGGCATGTTACAGGTCGATATAGGATGCTAGAGTAGCTAGCAACAACGGCAAGAGATTCAAATCTGTGAAAAATTGTTTTTAAAAATTTGTTTATTTCTATGAAAAGTTTGCATTTGATGTTGGTTCTATGCTAATGTTACATTCAGTGTAAAAAGTTTATGTTTACTGCGCTTTTTTGACTTTTTTCTGTCCGGTCAAAATTGCCTGTCTCGGACCAGGTCAATTTTGACCGCCCGGTTGAAATGCCGATTTTTATGCACACACAGTGCAGTATTCAGCCCGCCCCCCCTATTATAGTATATTTACACACACCCTCCTGTATAGTATATATACACCCCACCCCCTGTATGGTATATATATACACCCCCTTTGTATCATATCTAAGTTACCACCCCCCTGTATAGTATATACACCCCCCTCCCTTTAAAGTATAGGGTGAGTCCAAAAAAAGTGTGATTTGCGTCGCCTGGTGCAAAATTATACCCATTTTTGCGCAACGGTCCTGTATGGTGTTTTTTCAATATTTTTTAAAAATTTGTAACTTTTGGTACTCCAATCCCCTGAAAAAAAATCCGTGAACCTTTTTTCTCTCAAAATCAAAAGTTAACCCTATTCCCGCTGGGGGGGGGTCAATTTGACCCCCCCCTGTAGTTTTTTTTACATAACTCAAAAAGTATTGGTCTGAGGCTGTTGAAATTTTCTGACTTTTCCTACATACCCAAAGCCCTCCCTTTAGGCCTAAAACCGGGCTTTAATACTAACTGCCTGAGTCCTCAGGCACACTGCCTGAATGAATGCTTTTTCCTGTAACAAACTAAATCTTTGTTTTGACCCACTTTCACTTGTCAGATTTTGATAAAATTTAGCTTTTTGGAAAGCCTATGACATAAGGAAACGGATTGCACAAGTTTTGCGAAAAAAAAATTGCAAATTTTTTGCAAACAACCTGTCAAAGGAAATTTGCACATTTTTAGTTTTTCTTGATTAAAAATCAGGTTATTTAAAATTTTGCAAACATTTTTGCATATTTGAAATGGCATGGTCAAGGGCTTTTCAAAAATGTATAATTTTTCATTTTTTGGGCAAATTTTTTTTTGCAAACATTTTTACTATATAACTGGATTTTGCGATAAAAAATTCAATTTTTGCAAATTTGCAAATTTTTTTGCAGATTCTAAAAGTAGAGCACAAGAGCTTTCCAATGATGTATCATTTGTCATATTTGGACATCAAACATGGGATTTAGAGGGGGGGGTCAAATTGACCCCCCCCCAGCGTATCCTGGTTTTCAAGTACCCCAGCGGGGATAGGGTTAAGAAAAGCAAAAATGTTTTAAAAAAAATTGAATCACAGAATCACAAAAAGATCGCAAAATTGTAATTAGAAAATTCGGAATTTTTAATTCTGGTCTATTTTTTAAGGAAAAAATTCTCTATTTCCTTTCTTCTTAGTATATTCTAAAGTATTTAATATACGTTGTTTAGTTGAAACCTTAAGAACCATTGAAAGACAATTTTTCCGTAAAAATTAGACTGAAAATTGTGAGTTTTCATATTACAATTTTGCAAATTTTCTGCGATACTGTGATCCAATCTTTATAAAATTTCAGATTTCGATAGAATAAATCTATTTACACATTTTTGTTTTTCTGAACTTTTGATTTTGAGAGAAAATAAAGTTCGCGGATTTTTTTTGGGGCCATTGGAGTACCAAAAAAAATTACAAATTTTCAAAAAATATTGAAAAAACCAGGAGCCGCAAATCACACTTCTTTTGACTCACCCTGTATATACACCCCCCCCCTTTATAGCAATTATACACTCCCCTTGTATAGTATATATACACCCCCCATATAGTATATATATACCCCCTGTATAGTAAATATACCCCCCCCCCACCCTGTATAGTATACATAAACCACATACCCTGTTTAGTACATACACACACCCCAATTTTGTCAGAGCCGAGCCGGACAAAATTGACCGTTTCCTGCTCCAGGCGGTCAATTTTGACTGATGCCGAGCCGGACAAAGCTGGCCGGGTTTTGTATCTCCACTACCCTTCATTGAAAAAAATCGAAACTTGATATCTACTCTATGGACATTATAATGGATTAACACTGTGAATTACAGCAAGATCAGAAAGAAATATTTGTCTCATCACTAGTGGGTTAGATGTTAAGTACATCTAGCTTTTCATAGCACACTAAACTAAGCTAGTAGAGTAGGACAAATATGCCTTTGATAGGCCAGGTGGCAGGTACTGTAAAAATTTAAACAGAGCCGTACAGGAAAGTGGTGGACCTGCACTTGCCACGCACCACTAATGCCAGTACAAGGGGTCAGTCCAGTTCAAATTTTAATTGACTCTTGTCCACGGTGAAAGGTACTAAGTATTTGAATTCAGGATACATTGGACACGGTAAGCTAGGTAGGCCTAGTTAAAAATAATATAACTGCTAACACTATAAAGACTGGGGGTCTACGTATAGCAAGGGGGGGGGTCCTAATCCTCCCCCCAAGAAAAAGGCCTTAGAAAAAATGTAATAGGGTTAAAATTCATGTTCATAGCCCAATTTATTAAGGCCAGTTCATTAAAAAAAATTAGACTGATTATTTTAATTGTTTGGGTTCTGGAAAGGGCTGAAAAGATGTCAAAAATAATCATAAAATGTAAAACATTTCTTTTTTGTTTTAAACAAATGTTAAAGTGTGACACATAATTCTACATCCATTTTTCAATGGCTTTTCAAAAATATTGTTTTGGATCAGTAGCTTTAGTAAAAAAAAGTTATAGGCCATTTTAGATTTTTTTTCACAGACTGAACTTTTTACTGACCTGTACTCTACCATGTGCCTTTAAAAAAATATTTTTTTAAAGAAATCCTTTAAACTTCTATTCAAACATCCCCCCCCCCCTTTCCCCCAGCTAGTTTATGGTTAAGTCAAAATTTGTTTTATGATGCATTATTCTAATTTGAAGGGGAATCTTGTGTATTGAGGATTTTAAGATCAATACTTGATCTTGATCATTTGTTAATCTGCAGATTAATTTGATCTTTCTTTGATATCTACAATGTAATATAAGCTTGAAACTGAAAGGAAAAAAATTAAATGAAAAAAGTAAGATTGTAAAATTTGTTAAAAGACAACATAAACAGACGTATGAACAAGTATGTAATTACATTCCTTTTTAGGACCCTTAATTATTAAAGGCATCACTGGAGCTTTTACTCAGATTGGTAAGGTTTTTTTTTTACTAATAAATAATATATAAAACTTATTAACTTTTACTATTTCTTACTAAGGAATTGTATCATTTGGACGGGGGAATCAACGTTGTACTTCGGTGAGGCTTAATTAGAGCATAGATATTGGTTTGAATACTAGTACAAGTTTTAGATTTCTGTAATTAAGGATGATTTCCCTGGTGTGTATACTCGGGTTTCACCGTACTTGGACTGGATTAAAGAAAACTCTAAAGTTAATCATACATCTTCACCATCTTCTGGTCAATAATTATGAGAGCCAAGATTGGTGAATTGTTTGTTATCATTGGTGTTTTAATTGGTTTCAATAAATTCGGAATATCTTATATTTTTATATCCAGATGAGTCTATAAAGACGACCTGAAACTCTTAGAATATGACACAATTCCAAGGCTGTAGTAAGTTGTCTGCCTCAATAATAATCTTTTTATAGCATCTTTAAGGTTTGGATAACGAAAGAAACAAGTTTGAGTTACAGGGAATCATAAATATAAGAAAACAGATAGTACATGTTCCGTACAGTCGTCTCTGATAATTCAAAATGTCTTCTTCCTGTTGTTGTTGTTGTTGTAGCCATAGAACCACAGTAGAGTATATGGACATGGAAAAATTGGTTGTGAAGTTCTATTGACCACCAGAGAAGTGTGTTACAACTGTCTCATGCAGCCCCATAAATAGAAATTTCGTAAGTCAAAAATAGTATAGTATGGATAAGTAGGGGGCGAACTGCAGGTGAAACAAATTTTTGACCTGAAAAACTCAATAATGAAAAATTAATGAATGTAGACTAAAACAACTAGATTTTTAGTAATCACATTTAATAGTTAATTAAGATATATATTTTGCCTGTTTCTATTCCCCTAATTGGTATTGAATAATTAAAAAACCCAAAAGTATGGGACAGTCCAGGGACTTTGGGACTGACCTAGAAGCCTTGAACAGTCCTAGGACATTGGGACTGTCCCAGACTTCATTGTCCCTTTTTCTTTCCTAACCCTGCAACAGAGCTAAGTAAACTGCATATTGATTGTGTAAAGGTCTTTATTTATTATAGTCATCATTAACAGACAGAAATAAAATTAAGATCCAGATTGAGCAGAATTCTGAACCAATGAATAGATATAAAGAATGTACTCTAATTTATGAAACTATTTATTTTGAAAATACCAAAAAAAATGTTAGGGTGCTGTTTCCAAATTGGTGTTTTCAGGGTCCTGGGATCCCCTTGCTTCCCTGCCACCGCCATTAGAGGACTGATATGAGACCTGTGTATATTTTGTACCTATTCAAATTGTAAATTTAACATGTAAATTGTAAATTTCTGTGTAAAGGATATACATCATGTGTATCATTTTCACTTAATATAAGTTGTAAATGTAAACTTTACTTTATATAAACGTAAATGTAAATGTAAAGGTTTTATTCCTATGTAACAATATTTACTTTATATTACTTATAAATGTAAATGTAAACGTAAATTTTCTATGTAAAGGTATCCCTGTGTAAAAATATTTACTTAATATTACTTGTAAAATATTTACATTATATTACTTGTAAATGTAAATGTAAATGTAAATGTAAATTGTAAATTCTCTGTGTACAGGTTACATCTCTGTGTAAAATATTTTTTTAACATGACTTATTTGTAAATGTAAACTGTCAATCTTATTTCGAAACATATTCATATCAAGTCAAAAACAATACCTAAAGTAACTGGAACAGATCTTATCTTAAGATCTAAAGCTATGAAAAGTGCCAATAATTTTGAATTGACCCAAGATCAAAAAGGAACAAACTGCAATTAGGATATGACAGGACTTGTTACAACTTATTCAAGATGACATTTATTTCATGTACCATCTGAAGGAACTATTAGATTTTGGTCTCCTTTACATCTTTCAGAATCTATCTCACAAGTTGCTATTCCAACTATTAAATATTTAGAACTGTATATGCAAGAATATTAGAATATCAATGATACATATATTTTATGATAATTTGGTCGGAGTAATGGTTTTTCTCAAAAGGAGCTGATTTACTTCACATAAGAAGAAATTTCATTTTCTTATTTCATTAAATATTAATGCGCAAATTCAGGGGATAGTTTTTTTCTTTTCTTTAACACAATATATTGAAAAAACAATTGCCTTTACTTTAGAACCATGTTCGTGAAAAATGTAGGAAAGATTATTCAATTTATATCAACATTTCTTCATCCAAAGACAGAAGCGGCATAGCAGTCATTTGTCTGGCTTGGTAATTTTAAGAAAATTTTAAACTCGATGACAAAGCAAAAGCATCACTTTTTTCTTCATTGCTTAGTACAAGAAAGAGAAAGATACACTGTGTGGTGTTACTAAAATAACATAAAACCTAAATTGCATCAAGTTAAGGCGATAAAAATGATGGTCTCTCCAGGCCTCATGACTAGAATTTGGTTTATAATTATTGTATTTATTGATGTTCATGTCATATTTTGCAACATCAAAATATTTTAATTGTTTTTTTAAGTAACCTCATCATCAATTATTTTATAATTTTGTATGTGTGTTGTATAATACAATTTCATCTTTTGACAAAATAAATATTAAATGTTGTCTATTTGTCTATTTTATATCATAAAAGAAAGGAGCAACAATTTACATTTAAAGGGGAATGTCCACATTTCCATAAAAAAAATGCGGGAAAGGGGGGAAATGTTATAAGGAGAGGGGGAATTAGATTACAGAGTTCAGAATTGAGTTTCCCGACCCAATGTTTATGACTTTAGACACCCCACATGGACCTAACGCAAAGTTTTTGAAAAAAATGACGGAAAATTTGGGAAAAATCAGGGGAAAAGTTATTTTTCTCCCTCTTTGGTTTTTGATTTAAAAACTAGATCACAATATAGGTCTGCATGCAAATAAACAGGGATAAATCTCTAGTAATAAAGTCAGAAGGCTTCTTTGGCCTTTAGAAGGGGGAAACTGCAGGAAAGGGGAGGAAATGTTATAAGAAGGGAGGGGGAAATGCATTATAAAATCCAGAATTGAGTTTCCCAACCTAATATTAATGACTTTAGACACCCCACGTGGACCTTACACAAAGTTTTTGAAAAAATGCGGGAAAAATTATTTTTCCCCCACTTTGGTTTTTGATTGAAAAACTAGATCACAATTTAGGCCTGCATGCTAAAAATCAGAGATATCTCTTAAAACAAAGTCAGAAGGCCGCCCCCCCCCCCCCTGCCCTTTGTATGGAAATGTGGACATTCCCCTTTTACACTTTTTTAAATAGTGAACATATTTACAAGTAATATAAAAAAAATATTTTACACAGGGATAATACCTTTACACAGAGAATTTACAATTTACATTTACATTTACATTTACAAGTAATATTAGGTAAATATTTTTACACATGAATATAAAAAACTGAGGGAAAAGTTTTTATGGTTTTTTATGCGTGCTGAACTAAGGGAAAAGTTTGTAATGGTTTGTCTATGTGTGCTTAACTGAGGGTAAGGTTTTTGATGGTTTGTTTATGTGTGTTGAACTGAAGGAAAAGTTTTTAATGTTTTGATTATGTGTGCTGAATCAGAGGTTAAATCAAATAAACATTATCATAAAGTTATAAAAACAAGACAATATTATATTTTTACCTCTTATAGGGATAAAACTTTGATTATTTACTAATTAGGGGTGGTAAAGACCCTTTCAATCAAGATGAGGCTAGGCTGCATGAGGTAAGAGAAGGAGAATGCTGACTAGGGTTTCCACCGGAATTCCGGGTTAGGGATTACGTACGGAAATGATCCGGAAATTTTTTCCATTTCCATAATGGAAAAGGTTCCATAATCCGGAATTCCAGAACGATTTCCGGAACGATGTTTTTCCGTAAACGGAAATTTCCGGGACGTTGTTCTGGAATTACGGAACGTTACGGAATAGAGTTCCGGAAAATTCCGGTTTACGGAACAATTGTTCCGGAATTTTCCGGAAAACGTTGAAGACATCTTAAACTTATGTAAAAGATAAAACCAGTAAGTAATATCTACAGAATAATAGAATGTACGCCTGGTGTAGCTGTAGTCATGTACAGCAATCCTTGAGTCTAATTAATGTTGTTACAAAGGAAATAGGTTAAATAGTAACTTATAAAATCACTTTTAAATTGGTCTGTATACAGTATAGTATATACTACGTAATTGCCGTGTCTCATGTTCATTGAACTATTTAGAGTCATAATTTAAGTCTAATAGTCGTCCTCCTTTTCCAGAATTTTCTGGTTCTCACTCTATTTATATACTTTGCTCGTCTGTTTGTTTGTCCGTTTGTATCCAATAAACGTCCAAACAGCTGAACCGACCAAGCCCAACATTTGTGAGGCAACTCACATGGCCCAAGGGAAAGTTTAAAACTAGTTAAAAATTTATGCGGGAAAAAACGTCGAAATTTATTATTTTTTAATTCAAAAGTTTAAAGCCTATAGTTTTTATAAACTCTTATTTATATGGTTCATTTCATCCCATCCTGATCAAATACGGAGGGGGAGGGGGGGGGGGCATAAGCCTGTCCGATAACCCTCTTGAAAAATAAAAACTAATTTGTCAAAAAATATTGTGGGGAAAAGTGAACTGAAAACTGTAACTGTAAAATAGTCATGATTGTAGAACTAAATGCGGTATTTAATGTATGTCAACTAATAAGTTTTAACTTTTAATGTTTTAACATTGCTTTCTATGTCTAATATTGTGTTAAAATTTCCGGTTTACGAAATGGAAACTGGAAATTTTACGGTTTACGTTACGTAAACCGGAAAAAGTTCCGGTTTACAAAATGGAAACTGGAAATTTTACGGTTTACGTTACGTAAACCAGAAAAATTTCCGGTTTACGAAATGGAAACTGGAAATTTGGAGCCTCATATTTTGAAAAATGGCCTCCTAGCCAATCAATGTAGTCTCTGATCCTCAAGCTTCTAATTATGGCTCACAGCTGGCTCTTCTACATCAAGTTAAATAAGCAAAACTTTGTCTGTTTATAAAAAAAACCAACTCTTGCACTGCTAAATTTCCTATATTGATCATTCTAGGTTAAATATGTCTAATACACAAGATTTAACAATTACATTTTCAGTTAAGTCAGTCAGGTTGAGATACAGTCAAGCCGAGGCGGATCCACCTGTATCAAAAATTTAAGTAAACACTTTTAAGAGGCCATTGCAAAGGGGCACTGGAACCTTGAAAAATATGGGCCCCTTACCCCTTCAGAACTGAACACATTACAACTTTAAAAAACACACTACAGCTGTAAAACACACAACAACCCAACAATCAAAAACCC